CCAAGCCTCCTCCTGCTCTTTTTCAAATCTGGCCATTTCCCAGCCTCCCTCTACTTGCTCTTTGATTCTTGCCTGTATGATCCTCCTATCCCTTTTCCCTCACCATCTGCAGGCCGCTGCCATTTTCTGAAGTTCGCATCATATCTCCAACCTCCTCCTGGTCTTCTTCGAGTGTGGCCATTTCCCAACCTCCCTCTACTGCTTCGCTGAGCCTTGCCTGCACAACCTCCTTCTATCCATCTTCCCTCACCACCCGCAAGCGTTCCCAGAACCTGTCCACCTAACCTACCACCTAACCATATCCGAACCTCTCCTTCTTTCTCAAACCTCCTACTGCTTTTCGGAACCTTGCCTTCGCAAACCTTCTCCTCCTAATCCTTCTTCGCGCCTGCCCCCTCACCATCTGCTGACTACCTCTTCTCCTAGCCTACTACCTTGTCATCTGCCTTCCCTCAGCTCTTTGCCGAAGCCCCCATTCTGTCTCCGAACCTCGTCCTGCTGCTTCTATGAATCTGGCCGTCTTCAAACTTTCTCCTTCTGCTTCTCCGAACCTTGCGCTTATGAAGGTCCTTCCGAGGCCCAACCTTTCTCTGCATTCACTCCTGCACCATCTGCAAACTTCCTCGTAAACCTCTTCTCCTACCTATCCTGCTGCTTTACCATTTCTGAATCTTCTGGTAGCCCTTCCCCGGAGCTCCCATCGGGTCCCAACCTCCTCCTGCTTCTTGTTCAACCTGGCCATCTCCAGACCTCTTCTGCCATCTCCACACCTCCTCTGATTGCTGCTATGAACCTTCCCTTCATGAGTGTCCGCTGGACCCTTCGCTGCTCCCAGTCCCTCTCCATCCGTCAACTTTTTGCCATATCTAAATTGATTCCCATCTCTTTCTCCACACCTCCAGCCTTCCCTTTTTTGAATCCCCAATTGCCATCCTCAAAGCACTACTACCTTCTTCCCCCGAATACAACGTACGTCGTACGGTCATTATAGCTGTATTTGAGGCATCTTTCAGTCTAGATACAGCTATAATGACCGTATGATGTACGCTGTATTCGGGGGAAGAAGGTAACCTCCTGAACAATGGTGCCAGCCCCTGGAGACAGAACAAGAAGCCTTTGGCTGTCCGACCATCAATCTAATGGACCACCTGTACAGCACCAGCCCTCCCAGTAACCAAGTCGGGTGCACCAGGTACCAATATCTCCACAGCCGCGCATATTAGACCCTCCCTTGCATCTTGGCGATCCTCAGACCCCCCACAGAGAAGGAAAAATCCTTGCTATGTTTTTGTTGCACCTAGGCCAGCCTTTGTTTTGAACCTCGTACTGTCAATTCTACGAATCTCCCCCTAAACTCTCTCTATTCCTTTCCCATTATCTCTAAGCCTCCAAAGCGTGCCATCTCTGAATCCTCCCACCTATATAGAGAACTCATTGCAACACATGTATATCCTTCCATCCCTTCTCTGAAGCTATGTGCTCACCAGGTCCAAACATCTCCCACCTTTTCTCTGAATCTTGTCTTTTGTCTCCCTTGCCATATCCATGTTGTCTCCCTCCAATTCTTTTGGAGGTAAGGGGTTATCTGTAAGGTCCCATTCTGCTTGGTTTATTTTCTGGGTGTTGGATTGAAAGCCGCGACGGCAAAAAGAAGTGATGTGTCATGAATCTACGAGGCGCTACTAGTTGTATCGTCACTGCAGGGCTGTCAGGGCTGTTTGATCTTCTGGCAGTCTTCCTTCAGTAAATAATCAGTATTTTGGGAATCGACCTTCTCCCCCCTTTGCTTCTGTGGGAGAGAGTTGCTTTGCTTCTGTGGGAGAGAGTTGACTGGGGACATTTGCAGGTTGTTGATGTGGTTTTGAAGCTTGTTATGTCTCTGGGGGTGTGTTTCTTTCCAGGACAACTTTGAGAAACTTAAGAAGTCCTTTCCTCAAGCTGAGGATGACCAGCTGTGGGAGATTCTCTCTGTCTCTGAAGGCTCCTACAGGTTTGAATACTCTAACCTCTCTCTCTCTCTCTCTCTCTCTCTCTCTCTCTCTCTCTCTCTCTCTCTCTCTCTCTCTCTCTCTCT